ACATTTTACTATACACCAACAGACTTTCTCGCCCAAATTATTCTGCACTTTTTTTTGTATTTTTTTAAATATTTCTGGAAATAAACTAATTTTAGATCTAACAGACAAATTTGAGTCAATTTTCAGATTTTACTTAAAGAATTTGGCTATTTTTGTCTCAATCTTCTGAAGGAAAGTGCAGACTATTCTGTAAATTTGTGATAAAAAGAAGGAATTGGTGGTGAAAGGGCTAATGGCACAATATTGAAATCAAAGTTGCAACATTCACAAAACACTAAATAAAATTACCCTAAGAACATTAAAATAGATTTTCTCTCAACTCATATTTCACACAAACCTGGAGCGTTCATGTTCAACTTTTATCTGATATGATATCGTGGAGCTTTTATAAGTAATAAAAACATTATTAAACCACTTCTCAGGCATGTATAGATTGATGTGCGTTATTCTTGATACACTAATGAGACGTGGTAATTTTTCATACATTTCCTTTTTAGCCCCTGTCTGTAACACAGAATCAGAACTTAAAATGTAGTTACCTGTATACAATAAAATTTTTCATTATATGTCTAGCAGATTCTAACCAAACTTGGTATGAATATCCTTGGCTGCTAAGGCATATTGTTTGTTTAACAATTCATGTGTTTTATCTTTTGTGATTTTTTTCATGATTTTCTAAGTCATTAAACCAAATTCAATGAATACAACATTTTGGTCATGGTGATTAGAAGCTGATTTGCATATTAGTAACATGTGATTAAACAGTGATGCTACAAAAATTCAATGGCTGATTTCAGTCAAATTTTGTAATTTGTTTCATAATTTGATTGAGTTTTCTCTTTTTTATTGTGAACTTACAATTCAACATTGTTGCTGCTTTACACTAAATGGATGATACATTAGGGCTGAACAAAGTAAATGATTTGTTTTTTGTTAACACTCATGTCAGTTCAGAAGGGGTCACTTTGTTTTGAAGGTACCACATGGTGGAGATAACCAGTCTGATACTGAATTATGTTCACCAAGTTTCTTTTTCACAGCTTCCTTGACAGCGACCAATCTCTTAGATTCAGTAGCTTTGACAGCAAAAACTGTCTTTTATAACCACTGCAATTTAGATTTGGAGAATACTTTGCATGATAATCTTAATATATTGTTTGTTATATTTTTTAACTCATATGTATTAAACAAAAAATATAACCGGTAAAGAATGGGCAATTTATCTAAGTATAGCAGCTTTTTTTTTATGGATATTTGAACTGCTACGGGGAGTTTCAATATTTTTAAAGGGGTGTAAATCTCAGCAAAAATACTGTTAGTTTTCTTGGTTCAATTGCATCATGGGTAATTGGGGAGGTCTGCAGCAAACAAATCATGAAATATTGCTTGTGATATGCTCCTATAAACAAACACATTGTATTGAGACATCTTCACTGTGAATGGGCCAATCATACTGATGGTATGGCTGGAATGGCTTATAACCATAGCAACAACATATTCTCAATTCCTCCTCTTCATCTAAAGCCTACAGGTCAAGTTCTTAATACAAGGCCAAATACAAGACTTCAAATTTGGTACATACATTAAACATAATAGGACCTTGATGCACGTCATTTTTTTTTTTCGGATCAAGTTCGAAATAGCCGACTGGCGGCCATTTTGTTTTAAAGAATTCAGTTCTGGATCCGTATCCGAGACATGTCTGGATTGATCAAGTTCAAACTTCACACACACACAAGGTACATCATGTCACAAATATGTATGTGCATTTGTTTCATGATCTCATTAACGATAGCCAAATGGGGGCCGCTTTAAGGCCGAAAATGCATTGAAATCGCACATTTTCACCATTCCGGACCCGTATCTCAGTTATGCATGGATGGATTTTGTTCAAATTTGGTACATACATTAAACATAATAGGACCTTGATGCACGTCTTTTTTTTTTTTTCGGATCAAGTTCGAAATGGCCGACTGGCGGCCATTTTGTTAAAGAATTCAGTTCTGGATCTGTATCCAAGACATGTCTGGATTGATCAAGTTCAAACTTCACACACACATGGTACATCATGTCACAAATAGATATGTGCATTTGTTTCATGATCTGCTTAACAATAGCGGAATGATGGCCATTTTAAGGCCGAAAATGCATCAAAATCACGTATTTTCACAATTCCAGAACCGGATCTCAGTCATGCATGGATGGATTTTGTTCAGATTTAGCACAATGTGTTGTACATATGCAGTGCATTTCGGTCATGATCTGCTTTGAATGTATATGTCACTCAAATATGAACAGAACGGGGACGTATCATTGACAATGACTTGTTAATAAGTTAAATTTCAATTTCAAAGAAGAATGATTTATAAAACTGTGAAATGTATGATTTTTCAGAGTTATGCTCACAATTTAAGCAGAAATGAAATTCATTCTCCACTAAATTGAAGGTTTACCTTTAAATACCATTATTTTTCCCAAAAAAATTTGGGTGCAACATTTTGCCAATTTCATGGTTTTTTTTCATAACTTTTTTTGATAATTTTGGTCCAGATGAAATTAGTTTTTTATTGGGTACAGGTCTTGATCAAAATTTAAAAAAAAATGAAAAATTATCTCGGTTTTTATTTTGTGAACAGTCAACATTGCTGCTTAGAGAGTTATTCGCAAAATAGTCCTGTTTATAGTCCGCAAATGTCTTCTTCAAAAGATTAGGACAAAAATAGACAAATTTTTTGAGTAAAAACAGAAAATTTACTCCAATTTTGTCCGTTTGCTCCAAAATTAGTGTCCATTTTCAGAAATATTGGAGAATATGAGGGGAAAAAATGCAGACAAATTTGGACAAGAAAGTCTGGTTAAACAAACTACACATTCTTTTTAATTTATATTAAATGAATATCATCCCATGTACAGTGTAGACTTGTATCTGACTAACCTA